TCATTTGTAGTCATAAATTATGTTTGATGTGTAGTCAAAAATAATTTCCTGTCAGTAAAACAGTGGCATCTGACTATATAATCTGGATATTTTGTTTGATTGGGAGTCGTCCTGGCTGAGCGGCTAGATACTCGCCGCGGATCGGAAGGTTGTGGGTTCGCTCCCTGGCGGAGCCGGCCTTAAAAAAAAAATTACCTTGGCTCCCAGGTCGACCCAGCCTTGAATGGGTACTGGGTGCAGTCCTGGGAAGTAAAGGCGGCCGGCGTGATGCTGACCACATCACCCATCTTGTGCCGATTGGTCTTTATAAATACAGGTCTAGCCCTATATGCCCTCTACGACTAAAGGCCTGGAAAGGGGTCCTTTACTTTTTATTTTTATTTTTTAAAATTTTGTTTGATGTTTGAAAAGTGCACTAAAATATATTAAACTGTAGAATCTATACTTGTTTGATCTTATACAAGGAAAACGTCAGCTAAACAATATTAAAAAACAATAATGGATCAGCAAAAACATTTAATTTTGAGACATTAAACCCTAACTCTCAATATTCCAATTATAATCTGGATGGGTTGAACAGAATACTGTTGTTTGAATTACTGCTACTAATTGAGTTGGATCCCGCTGTGTACATGAATAAGTTGATGATATTTGGCCCAACACAGAAACAAACTTGCCTGTACAGATGTGATATCACACTAGATATGTTGACCTCAGTATTATATCTGGACAGGTGCAGGAAACTAATGTGGCCGACAAGATAACAACCACCTCACCAGTTGAGTTGTCGTTGGTCTATAAGATACATTTCCAGCACCATATACCCATTGCGTAGGAAACATGTCCTCGACTATTCCTAGTTTAGTCTGCTAATATCACATGATCATATTTTCACTCGCAGAAATATTGTGTAACAAGCTTTAGAATGGAATGCCACATTTTATTTATGAACCTTATAGACTTTGAAAAGGCCTTTGACTGTCTAGACAGAACAATGATGTGGGGGATTCTTGCTGTCTATGGGTTACCAGATAAAGTTATAAACATGTTTAAAGGACTCTATGAAGGAAACCAGTGCAAAGTGAAAGTAGGACTCCTGGAAACTTCAGGGTAACATTAGGAGTCCAACAAGGGTGCATTCTGTCACCTTTCTTGTTTCTCATAATGATAGATAATGTTACGAAGAAAGCAACCACAGGCAAATGGACAGGCCTTCAGTGGAACCTTCTCGAACACCTGGAACATTTGGACTTTGCAGATGATATCTGGTTCATCAGCCAAAGTAAAGAAAATCTGCAACAAAAGACAGATAAATCACAGAAATACCATAACAGACAGGGTTGATAATCAATGTCAGTAAAACAAAACTGCTGGAGATAAACCCCAAAAGGCAAAAACCTATGGTAATAGATAATGTAGGCACAGAAACAGTAACTGACTTCACTTACCTGGGAAGCCATATCTCCTCGGATGGAAATGTAGTGGTTGAAATCAAGCAGAGAATTGCAAAGGTAAATGCTGCTTACAACAGACTTCAGAGTGTCTGGAGATCAAACATCTACAGCACTGAAACTAAACTCAGGATGTACTAAACATGTGTTAGGACAGTTCTCCTCTATGGAGCCAAAACTTGGAAAACAGATAGAAAGATAGAGGGAATTCTCAGAGGTTTTGAGGGAATCTTCTCAGAAGATTGGTGGGGTTCACATGGGAACTAACAAACTTTTTTTTCAAAGGGTCACAAATTAGGCCGGTCTTACATTCGGCCCTTCCAAACTCCCATCTTTCACACAGCAGTTGTATTTTATCAATAAAGCATGTTATGTTCATATAATAAAATCAGCAACTCTAGATTACACAAAATTACAGACTTAGAAGATTTAAATTAAGAAATACAAAAATAAAGATGGAGGTGGATTGGACATGTCCTCAGAACGAAGAAAAAGCGGCGGCCGAGACAGGCAATGCGATGGACACCACAAGGACAGCGAGGATGAGGCAGGTCCAGAGGCATTTGGAGGCCAACCTTTGAGGCTGAACTCAAGGCTACGCGAAGGACAAAACTGGACTTAGAGAGGATGACTCAGGATCGAACTGAGTGGCGACAGTTTGTCTCTGCCCTATGTGCCTCTGGGCGCGATGAGAATTGATTTATTGATCACACTGTAGACAATCGTTTACTTTGTTCATTAAAAAAAATTTTGTTTGATCTATTGTTGAAATAAAGTTTTTAAAACTGAAATTTTCATAATTGTTTGTTTATTACATGTAGTGTTTACATTGTCACTGTGGTGGAATATGTGGTAGGCATGTGTGGTTGGCATGTGTAGTGGCATGTGTGGTGGCATGTGTAGTGGCATGTGTGGTGGCATGTGTGGTGGCATGTGTAGTGGCATGTGTGGTGGCATGTGTGGTGGCATGTGTGGTAGCATTTGTAGTGGCATGTGTAGTGGCATGTGTGGTGGCATGTTAGGTGGCATGTGTGGATGGCATTTGTGGTGGCATGTGTGGTGGCATGTGTGGTGGCATGTGTGGCGGCATGTGTGGTGGCATGTGTAGTGGCATGTGTAGTGGCATGTGTGGCGGCATGTGTGGTGGCATGTGTAGTGGCATGTGTGGTGGCATGTGTGGTGGCATGTGTAGTGGCATGTGTAGTGGCATGTGTGGTGGCATGTGTGGTGGCATGTGTGGCTGGCGTCACATCATGTCTGGGAAGACAGGATTATATGTGGGTCGTCAACATCCAGAGCTGGGCTGGGAGAAGCCTCTACGATAGCTCCTAAACACTACAAATAGAACCTGAAGGGCAGCCCAATAGTTTCGTTGATTGCAGAAGCAACATTTGGCGATAGTGACCATAGATCAGCACACACCGCCACTGGGCGGCTCTATATGTCAGCAGCCAATCTAATCAGGTCACGTCTTTATCTATTTATGACATCATTACCATCATCATGTATCATGTCGCTAAGCGCAGGCTGTCGTGTTTCGCCGTTTCACTCGATCGCTAGAATCACGGGTCAGTTCAATGTTTGTGCCTTGCCCCATCCATCTGCCCCATCCATCTGGCCAGGTCATCTAGGCATTTATTTCTTTGCCTTCCTCTTGCTGTCTTTCCATCAAATCAGTCTTGCCAGTTGTAACCAAGTTTTCATGTGCATTCCTTCTCATAGCGTGTCCAGAAACATTGAATGTCTACATCTTTCATCTTTCATTTTTTAGACTTCCGGTTCCGATATTGACAGGGAATGGATGACGGTTGAGAACTTGGCTTATGTTGACCGTTCTCTTCGGCGTTTCTCCTTTAGTTTCGATCTTGCAAGATTGTGGAAGTCCTGTTTGCAGCCGGAGCTACTGAGTTTAGTGCTCCCGACGGCACTGTGAGCTGTGATTACTGGTTATTGACTGAGTTCCAGATTCGTACACAATGACAGTGATGGGTGATGTATTTTCTTCGTTGTCCTGGCACAAGACGTGTGCTATAGCTGCTATTTATTTGCTGGCCGTGGCTGCAACTTGGCCGCGGACGTGTGGAGAATGGTCAGGATAAGTTTTCATCTACTCACCTGTTTTCACAGGGATAGTCCTGCCTTTTGTAAGTGTGCCCTGGCCATACACTCGGTACTCCTTAAGAGCGCCGATTGTCCTGTTTGATAAAATCTAGGTCGTACTGACTATGAAAACACATAGGGCTAGAGAAGTGGCTAGAGAAAGAGAGACCTTCATGCCTGCAGTGGCTAGAGCGACGTTCTGTACGGACCTGCTGATTGATGATGAGTTTGCCATTGCCTACCCAATGGTAGGATGCTGATATCATCTTCACATTCATCGCACAACAGTCTGCTATAAAATCTTCAGCGGCTGACTTGAACACTGCTATATCACGATTATGAAACTACCCTTACAACCACTTAGCCTCAGACGCCAACCATTTTGTTTATTACATACTAGCTGTACCCGGCCACGTGTTGCTGTGGCATAGTTTGGCTAAATGGAAAAGAAAGAAAATAGAAATCGCACGTGTCTAATATGGTTATTGTCGCAATCGTTGTCTGCTCAGATATAGAGATATTTGATTCCCCCACCACCACTAAATCCACCTACTACTCTCTCCCTCATTAAAAGATTTTTGGAAAAGAAAGACAATAGAAATCGCACGTGTCTAATATAGCTAGTGTCGCAATCATTCTATGCACGGATAAAGAGATAGTCTGATTTTCCAACTTTAGTTTACGCACAATATAATTGTGTCTTTAAATTAGTGGTCGTTTAAATGGTGTTATTAGCACAGTAACAAAAATGGTTATTTGGTTATCACATGCTAAAGCTGTTTGTATTTTTACAGGAGACAGAAGTAGAGCTCCTACTGTACTTGTAAATAACAAAGTAAGTCGTAAAAAAAAATTAGCATACCGGAGGCAGAGTTTGTAAAATACAAACAAATTATTTAATGAGAACTTCAAAATCATATGTTAAGCTCTTTAAGTTAACACTTTCAGTCATTACCCCCCCCCCCAACCCCCATCCACCGACTACAGCTTTCTCCCCCTTCGAAGGAATTGAAAATCATCACCTGGCGTTTTTTTTTTCTTTCTGTAACTGACATTGACATCCCTGTCCATCCGGACTAAAATGGGGGGCAGGAATTGTAATAGGTAGTAAATGGGGCTAGTGTAATATTTACAACATCACCCTTCAAGTACCAGTACAACTACTACCAAGTAGTTTAAATTTAATTATCAACTGGTTTACCCACAAACCTGTCCTTTTTGTTGTTGTTTTTTTTTTTTAGTTTTAAAGGCCACATGGCTAGTACTGTCGCCACGACAGTGCAGGTGAGGATTGTATTTTGCTCCCGGGTAAAATAAAAAAAAAATAAAAAAACTACTGCGGATTCGAACCCTGGTCTCCTGCACAGCAGCCCAGTGTTCTAACCATTCGACCAAGCAACCACTCCTACTGAATAGCGAAAAAAGAACATAACTATTTGAGATGTGTGTTCCTACTATTGTGTCCTAATTATGACACAACTCAAAACCGCAGGCAATTGTTTTCTCATAGACATATATTCCAGATATATTATTGAAACGGCACAATAGAAATGGCACATGTCTAACGCTGTTAATGTCGCAGTCATTGTCTGCGCAGACGTTAAGATACTCCTTGATGCCCCGTTTCCCCTCCCCCTTTCCAATCCATCGGCTACTCTCCAACTCATCGAATGTCCTTTGAAAAGACAGAAAATAAAAATCGTGTCTAATATGGTTATTGTGGCAATCATTGCCTGCACAGATTTAGAGATAATCTTGTTTGCTGTATCACGGCCTACTCTATTTATTAGAGAAGGCGTTGGCTGTACGTATCTCGCCGGCGAATGGTGGAAGTCTTGCGTTCTGACTACGGCGCATGCGCATTTACTAACGTGGCTATAATAAAATGTCACTAAAAATGGAAATATTAGATTCAAAGATTTTTCCTAAAATTGTGGTCACCTATCTCTAACAATGACAGGTTGAATTTCAAACCATGATGGCTAAACATCCGGTATCAAAACAAACATCTCCTGAAATTTTCAGCTAAATCGGTTCAGTAGTTTCCGAGTCTATAGCTCATAAACAAACACACAAACATTGATATATATATATATATATATATATATATATATATATATATATATATATATATATATATATTTATATATATGATAGTTGGGTCTGTTATGGAGGTGACGTGGGTGAGATAAATGTAAATGCAACGAAATAGTGTGTAGACAGTTGTTCTCTTTGTAAACTGGAAATAACACAAATATCAGATACGAAATTAAAACGAAACCGGCGAAACAGTAAAGTACGAATTAAATGAAATATTCTCCCGCCATGAATTCAAACAGAGGCCATCTCAAAAGCTAGGTTGATATTTCCTGCGCCGTCAATAGGCGTGTGTGTGACGTCGCGGTGACAGATAAAGACTCCATGGTCGGTCTGTGACGAGCGACCCACGTCTCCTTGTGTGCACAGCTGCTGTGTGTTTGCTGTTGGTGCTGGCTTTTTCCTGTCAGGTGTCACAGAAAGAGAGAAAGTATTAACTTTGTGGCGGTAGGAAAGGGTTCAATCTAGAAATACATCCTGGAAGTCTAGTCTATTTTATCTGTTTACCTGCCAGTCTGTCTACTTGTCTGTCTACCCACCTATTTACCAATTCAGTCTACCGGACACTCCCTTCCTTGGTTGCCCGGTGAATCAACAGGAACCAAGTTTGTACGTTTTGTGCAGTTCAGTCTAATAGGCCAGCATCTGTCGGAAAGAGGGCGATTCCTGACTGGGTACCAACAGTTGTTTGTTTTTTCTTCAGAGCTGTTGCAGAGTCTTCTTCCCGTGGCTAACCAGGAAAACAGCGACACTTGCAAGAGTAGAACTGGAACCTGACGTCTGCTGGGAGTAATCTTAGGATGAAACCAGACCGAGAACCCTGACAGCGTGTGCAGACTGAGGTCAGGTGCGCAGCTCAGGAAACCGACTGTGAACTGTTCAGCCCTTTAACATCTTATAGAGGTCGAGTGGAAGGGCTCAAGCCTTGTTTAACTGTGCAATATTTAGTAACTTTCTCTGCGGCTGGTAGGTGCTTCGTTGTAAACACACAAAAAACCACACCCAACGGGAGACCACACAAGCTGTCACTTGTTATAACTACCTCCCCACCTATCTATTTTTTAAAAATAATTCGTTCAACAACTCATGAACACACGTGCAAGCCATTTTTTCAAAAAAAATGCTGTTAGATCGCAACGATTTTTTGCATACAGACTTAGAATATCAACGACGCAAAAATAGCGGTATTCTTTAGTTCATTAATATTCAGGATGCCGAATACCAGGCAATTTCTTTGATCTTTTCGAATCATTGTAAAAAAGTGAACTTTTAGATTTGACAGTAAAATTCCTGACAAACCACAACAGTAAAAAAATGCTGGTATTGGTTCTGCGACGTCCTGTAAAGCAACAAACTTGTTAACCTATCTGCCGCTATAGTGACATACTACCTAACGTGTATTCTACTTGGCGTGTATTCTACCTAACGTGTATTCTACTTGGCGTGTATTCTACTTGGCGTGTATTCTACCTAACGTGTATTCTACTTGGCGTGTATTCTACCTAACGTGTATTCTACTTGGCGTGTATTCTACCTAACGTGTATTCTACTTGGCGTGTATTCTACTTAACGTGTATTCTACTTGGCGTGTATTCTACTTGGCGTGTATTCTACCTAACGTGTATTCTACTTGGCGTGTATTCTACCTAACGTGTATTCTACTTGGTGTGTATTCTACCTAACGTGTATTCTACCTAACGTGTATTCTACCTAACGTGTATTCTACCTAACGTGTATTCTACTTAACGTGTATTCTACCTAACGTGTATTTTACCTAACGTGTATTCTACCTAACATGTATTCTACTTGACGTGTATTCTACCTAACGTGTATTCTACCTAACGTGTATTCTACCTAACGTGTATTCTACCTAATGTGCATTCTACCTAACGTGTATTTTACCTAACCGGTATTCTACCTTACGTGTATTCTACTTGGCGTGTATTCTACCTAACGTGTATTCTACCTAACGTGTATTTTACCTAACGTGTATTCTACCTAACGTGTATTCTACCTAACGTGTATTCTACCTAACGTGTATTCTACCTAACATGTATTCTACTTGGCGTGTATTCTACCTAACGTGTATTCTACCTAACGTGTATTCTACCTAACGTGTATTCTACCTAACGTGCATTCTACCTAACGTGTATTCTACCTAACCGGTATTCTACCTTACGTGTATTCTACTTGGCGTGTATTCTACCTAACGTGTATTCTACCTAACGTGTATTCTACCTAACGTGTATTCTACCTAACGTGTATTCTACCTAACGTGTATTCTACCTAACGTGTATTCTACCTAACGTGTATTCTACTTGGCGTGTATTCTACCTAACGTGTATTCTACCTAACGTGTATTCTACCTAACGTATATTCTACCTAACGTGTATTCTACCTAACGTGTATTCTACCTAACGTGTATTCTACCTAGCGTGTATTCTACCTAACGTGTATTCTACCTAACTTGTTTTCTACTTGGCGTGTATTCTACCTAACGTGTATTCTACCTAACGTGTATTCTACCTAACGTGTATTCTACCTAACGTGTATTCTACCTAACTTGTATTCTACCTAACGTGTATTCTACCTAACGTGTATTCTACCTAATTTAATTTATTTAATCAGAAAGCTGTCAGGCTAGTCGACGGACTTGCAGGCAACAGAAGACAAAGTTGTGTCGGCAGACACAGACAACAGAAGACAAAGTTGTGTCGGCAGACACAGACAACAGAAGACAAAGTTGTGTCGGCAGACACAAACAACAGAAGACAAAGTTGTGTCGGCGGACACAAACAACAGAAGACAAAGTTGTGTCGGCAGACACAGACAACAGAAGACAAAGTTGTGTCGGCAGACACAGACAACAGAAGACAAAGTTGTGTCGGCAGACACAGACAACAGAAGACAAAGTTGTGTCGGCGGACACAAACAACAGAAGACAAAGTTGTGTCGGCAGACACAGACAACAGAAGACAAAGTTGTGTCGGCAGACACAGACAACAGAAGACAAATTTGTGTCGGCAGACACAGACAACAGAAGACAAATTTGTGTCGGCAGACACAGACAACAGAAGACAAATTTGTGTCGGCAGACACAAACAACAGAAGACAAAGTTGTGTCGGCAGACACAGACAACAGAAGACAAATTTGTGTCGGCAGACACAGACAACAGAAGACAAAGTTGTGTCGGCAGACACAGACAACAAAACTAATCTGTAGACAATAGACACAGCTAATTAAAAGAAAACAGACAGATCCAGCTGATCAAATCGACCGAGAAATTTAACTAGTAGACCTAAAAGACATACAAGATAATTAACGATGAGTTAAAAGATAGACACGTTATGAGACAGACACGTTTAGATAGTTAATCGACAAATTATCCTCATTGTAAATTGGACACATCTAGATGCTGTCAGATCCCATCTTCAGCCTGTGGCGACTGATAACACCAGTTCTGTTGGTTAACTATTTATTCTTCTGTGGCTTCCTGTATAGTATTCATGTTTTGCGACACCTCTTTTGATCTGAAGTTCGTGAAGTCTTTTGAGTGTTGCCGATGGAAGGTGGTGTCCTGAACCATCTTCTCGCTCTGCATCCTTGAGACCATTGGGAAAATCAGTCCCGTCCATTTATTTTCCTGTGCCTGCCTTGTCTCTGCCAGAGTCAATCCGTCCGTTCATCCTCTTTTACCCCAGAGTGTTCTGCAATAAAATGAAACTGATTCCACAGACACGTTTAACTAGTAGACAAGTTAAAATGCACAGTGCTAATTAGGAGAAATTTAACTGACAGACAATGCTAACCAGAAGACAGCAGACAGACAGACAAATATGATCAGCACAACAGACTGACTTCCCAAACTCTACGGCATCCTGCACGGTTTCCGGCAGCGCCATGTTGAGGGTCTCCGGCAAGGCCAAGGCCAGTAAACCGGCCAGCAGACCACTGGCGCCAAACACGAGGAACGGCAGCGAAGCTCCCACAGCTCCAGCGACAACCAGGCTCTGCAGGCAAGCTCAACAATAATATTTAGTTGCACAAACAACCACCACCAGCATCATCAGCAGCATCTTCGACGTCACCACCACCATCATCATCATAATGTCGTAGTCGTCGTCGCATCACTTTTGTCGTGGTCAGGACTATTAGTCTCAACATCAAGTTGACGCATGACTACAGTCTCCAGTACATTCTATCTCCTGCACAGCTTCCTTCTTGAATCGAAGGTGCCAGACGCATGACTACAGTCTCCAGTACATTCTATCTCCTGCACAGCTTCCTTCTTGAATCGAAGGTGCCAGACGCATGATTACTGTCTCCAGTACATTCTATCTCCTGCACAGCTTCTTTCTTAAATCGAAGGTGCCAGACGCATGACTACAGTCTCCAGTACATTCTATCTCCTGCACAGCTTCCTTCTTGAATCGAAGGTGCCAGACGCATGACTACAGTCTCCAGAACATTCTATCTCCTGCACAGCTTCCTTCTTGAATCGAAGGTGCCAGACGCATGACTACAGTCTCCAGTACATTCTATCTCCTGCATAGCTTCCTTCTTGAATCGAAGGTGCCAGACGCATGACTACAGTCTCCAGTACATTCTATCTCCTGCACAGCTTCCTTCTTGAATCGAAGGTGCCAGACGCATGACTACAGTCTCCAGAACATTCTATCTCCTGCACAGCTTCCTTCTTGAATCGAAGGTGCCAGACGCATGACTACAGTCTCCAGAACATTCTATCTCCTGCACAGCTTCCTTCTTGAATCGAAGGTGCCAGACGCATGACTACAGTCTCCAGAACATTCTATCTCCTGCACAGCTTCCTTCTTGAATCGAAGGTGCCAAACGCATGACTAGTCTCCAGAACATTCTATCTCCTGCACAGCTTCCTTCTTGAATCGAAGGTGCCAGACGCATGACTACAGTCTCCAGTACATTCTATCTCCTGCACAGCTTCCTTCTTGAATCGAAGGTGCCAGTAACTACAAAGTGTCTAAGTATGGTATCAAAGCTCACCACAAACTATCGATTGTACACGAGCGGAACAATTGGCATAAACAGGTGCCGGTACTTCGCACCGTTGCGTACTGCCAGACAAAAGCCCTTGTTTTGTAGTTCAATGGTACGTTTATGCAGGCGCCAGCCAGTTCATCTCATGATTGTGTCCTCCCACACAGCCAGTGCATCTCATGATTGGGTCCCCCCACACAGCTAGTCCATCTCATGATCGTGTCCTCCCACACAGCTAGTACATCTCATGATCGTGTCCTCCCACACAGCCAGTACATCTTATGATCGTGTCCTCTCACACAGCCAGTACATCTCATGATCGTGTCCCCCCACACAGCCAGTACATTTCATGATCGTGTCCTCCCACACAGCCAGAACATCTCATGACCGTGTCCTCCCACACAGCCAGTACAGCACATGATTGGGTCTCCCCACACAGCCAGTACATTTCATGATCGTGTCCTCCCACACAGCCAGTACATCTCATGATCGTTTCCTCCCACACAGCCAGTACATCTCATGATTGGGTCCCCCCCCACACAGCTAGTACATCTCATGATCATGTCCTCCCACACAGCCAGTACATCTCATGATTGGGTCCCCCCCCCCCATACAGCTAGTACATCACATGATTGGGTCTCCCCACACAGCCAGTACATCTCATGATTGTGTCCCCCCATGCAGCCAGTACATCTCATGATTGTGTCCTCCCACACAGCCAGTACATCTCATGATCGTTTCCCCCCACACAGCCAGTACATCTCATGATTGTGTCCTCCCACACAGCCAGTACATCTCATGATCGTTTCCTCCCACACAGCCAGTACATCTCATGATTGGGTCCCCCCCCCCATACAGCTAGTACATCACATGATTGTGTCCTCCCACACAGCCAGTACATCTCATGATTGTGTCCCCCCATGCAGCCAGTACATCTCATGATTGTGTCCTCCCACACAGCCAGTACATCTCATGATTGTGTCCTCCCACACAGCCAGTACATCTCATGATTGTGTCCTCCCACGTCTAAGGTTATCTTTTAGTACCCTCTGATGTTGTTAAACCTCCGCCTTCCCTTCTTATCCTCACATGTTGTCCCCTATCCCCACATGTTGTCCCCGATCCCCACATGTTGCCCCCATTCCCACATGTTGCCCCCATCCCTACATGTTGTTCCCCATCCCCACATGTTGTCCCCCATCCCCACATGTTGTCCCCTATCCCCACATGTTGTCCCCCATCCCCACATGTTGTCTCCCATCCCCACATGTTGTCCCCCATCCCCACATGTTGTTCCCCATCCCCACATGTTGTCCCCCATCCCCACATGTTGTCCCCCATCCCCACATGTTGTCTCCCATCCCCACATGTTGTCCCCCATCCCCACATGTTGTCCCCCATCCCCACATGTTGTCCCCCATCCCCACATGTTGTCCCCCATCCCCACATGTTGTCCCCCATCCCCACATGTTGTCCCCCATCCCCACATGTTGTCCCCCATCCCCACATGTTGTCCCACATCCCCACATGTTGTCCCCCATCACTACATGTTGTCGCCCATCCCTACATGTTGTTCCCCATCCCCACATGTTGTCCCCCATCCCCACATGTTGTCCCCCATCCCCACATGTTGCCCAGTTGTCCCCCATCCCCACATGTTGTCTCCCATCCCCACATGTTGTCCCCCATCCCCACATGTTGTCCCCCATCCCCACATGTTGTCCCCCATCCCTACATGTTGTCCCCCATCCCCACATGTTGTCCCCCATGCATCTCTTGATGTTGTTTATCCACATGCTGGCTTTCCCGGCCATCTTGCTTCCACGACTATCTTGCTTCCCCAAACATCTTGCTTCCTCAAACATCTTGCTTTTCCAAACATCTTGCTTCCCCAAACATCTTGTTTTCCCGACCATCTTGCTTCTCCGACTATCTTGCTTCTCCGACTATCTTGCTTCTCCGACCATCTTGCTTCCCCGATCATATTGCTTCCACGACTATCTTGCTTCCCCAAACATCTTGCTTCCCCAAACATCTTGCTTTCCCAAACATCTTGCTTCCCCAAACATCTTGCTTCCCCGACCATCTTGCTTCTCCGACTATCTCGCTTCTCCGACTATCTTGCTTCTCCGACCATCTTGCTTCCCCGATCATATTGCTTCCCCGACCATCTTGCTTCTCCGACCATCTTGCTTCTCCGACCATCTTGCTTCTCCGACCATCTTGCTTCCCCGACCATCTTGCTTCCCCGACTATCTTGCTTCCCCGACCATCTTGCTTCCCCGACCATCTTGCTTCCCCAAACATCTTGCTTCCCCGAACATCTTGCTTCTCCGACTATCTTGCTTCCCCGACCATCTTGCTTCTCCGACCATCTTGCTTCCCCGACCATCTTGCTTCCCCGACCATCTTGCTTCCCCGACCATCTTGCTTCCCCGACCATCTTGCTTCCCCAAACATCTTGCTTCCCTGACTATCTTGCTTCCCCGACCATCTTGCTTCCCCGACTATCTTGCTTCCCCGACCATCTTGCGTCCAGCCTACAGCTTTTTTTTTTTTTTTTTTAAATTAACCATTTATTACAACAAGAAACTGTGTTTGTGTTTCCACCTGAATTTGTTCACACAAGATTTGTGTTTTCCTGTTGCTTTCATGAGTTGTCTCCTACTTTCTGTATAGTTCAGTCAAAGTAGATATGTTATTATGTTAGTGAGTGTGAAATTACCCATAACAAGACCGGGCATGAATTACACTGAAAAAGATAGAATGAAGTGGCTTCGTCATGCAGTCAGATCAAACTCTATATGAGACTTTAAAAGGCACAATATCTGGGAACGAGGCGAGAGAGAAAGAGATGATAGATAGATAGATAGATAGATAGATAGATAGATAGATAGATAGATAGATAGATAGATAGATAGATAGATAGATAGATAGATAGATAGATAGATAGATAGATAGATAGATAGATAGATAGATAGATAGATAGATAGATAGATAGATAGATAGATAGATAGATAGATAGATAGATAGATAGATAGATAGATACATAGATAGATAGATAAATAGATAGATAGATTAGATAGATAGATAGATAGATAGATAGATAGATAGATAGATAGATAGATAGATAGATAGATAGATAGATAGATAGATAGATAGATAGATAGATAGATAGATAGATAGATAGATAGATAGATAGATAGATAGATAGTAGATAGATAGATAGATAGATAGAGATAGATAGATAGATAGATTAGATAGATAGATTAGATAGATAGATAGATAGATAGATAAGATAGAAGATAGATAGATAGATAGATAGATAGATAGATAGATAGATAGATAGATAGATAGATAGATAGATAGATAGATAGATAGATAGATAGATAGATAGATAGATAGATAGATAGATAGATAGATAGATAGATAGATAGATAGATAGATAGATAGATAGATAGATAGATAGATAGATAGATAGATAGATAGATAGATAGATAGATAGATAGATCGATAGATAGATAGAATTCTAATTTCAAAGGGTCACAAATTGGACAAGCAGGTCAGTCTTACATTCTGGCCTTTCGCCTCTAACATTGCAGTTGTATTTTAATCAATAAATCATGCCTTGTTTATACAATAATAAGCATTTTTTGAAGATCAAAAGTTAAAGGAAGAGACGGACAGCCGGCGTAGCTGAAACCTGCAGACAGTTAAAGCACAAATATAACGCATGCTACCTGGACACTGGGCTACAACATGGTAACAGTGGGATGACGACAGAAGAAGAAGAAGAAGAAGAAGAAGAAGAAGAAGAAGAAGAAGAAAAAGAAATGGTTCATTACGCACATACATATGCTGTCACATGAAAAATACATGTTCTAAAATATGTGTGTGTGTCTATGTGGGTGTGTGTCTATGTGTGTGTTACTTTGACTGTATTCGGCGACAACGTGTTAACATTGTGCTTGACCTGCGCATTGCTGTGGTCAGTCTCCTTCTGGTTTCTATTAAATATCTATTGTTGTTTATTATGGAGTCAGATTATGTGAATTGTGCCCCATATTATAATGTGTGTGTGTGTGTGTGTGTGCGTGCGTGTGTGTGTGTGTGTGTTTGTGTGTGTTTAAGTCTAGAAAAAAGTAACTATATGACCCCACTAGTGAACACATAGGTCGTCTAGTGGTAGACTTATATTAGAACCGACTAATCGGGATTCCATGGATGATAAAGTCAACATGTCACCGGCCGCCTTTACTTTACAAGACCTTTGCTAGTACCACGCCAGGCTGGGTCGTCCTGGGGGCCAAAGTCAATTGTGACAAACACAGGAGAATTTGACCTCTAGGTTATAGGGCTGGCCGCCACTGGGTGTCCTTAGTTTCTTTATCTTTAAATCGTTAACTCGAGCAATCTGCTGGTACCAAAGAAAACTGGTAGGACAAAACAAAAACTAATAAATTGAGATTTTAAACATAATTTATGCAACTGGCAACAGAGAAGATCACCCACCAGGTCAGCCACGTAAGGGGCCATCATAGCACCGACTCTGGCCACCATGGAACACGAGCCCAGGACACTGTTCCTCAGCCCTGTAGGGAACAGCTCGGCAGAGAACACGTAGATGGTGGAGTAGCCACCGGTGATGCAGAACTTGCCCACGTTGGACAACAAAACGATGATCCAGCCAGGAGCTGTGAAATCAAGAAACTGACTTGTTGGTGGTAAACTCCCTAGAAGACTGAGTACTAACACTTACGTCCGAGGTGTTGGAGTTTAGGTTGCCTCAGCTCTGACGAAGTGCTTACGTTGATTAGAGTTGCGATAGGGACGATTTGTTTCTCACTGAGCAGTTTACAAATTCACATATTCCATGAAACCGTCGCACAGCTTGTTGTTTCCCCCCCCCCCCCCCCTACTGTTTTTATAGACTCAGTGGTTTGTAGTCACTGTAGAGTTTCCGAGATTTTGTGGGAGTGACCAAGGAGATCTGATCGACACTTTACACTCAGGGAGTGACCAAGGAGATCTGATCGACACATTACACTCAGGGAGTGACCAAGGAGATCTGATCGACACTCTACACTCAGGGAGTGACCTAGGAGATCTGATCGACACTCTACACTCAGGGAGTGACCAAGGAGATCTGATCGACACATTACACTCAGGGAGTGACCTAGGAGATCTGATCGACACATTACACTCAGGGAGTGACCAAGGAGATCTGATCGACACATTACACTCAGGGAGTGACCAAGGAGATCTGATCGACACTCTACACTCAGGGAGTGACCAAGGAGATCTGATCGACACATTACACTCAGGGAGTGACCTAGGAGATCTGATCGACACATTACACTCAGGGAGTGACCAAGGAGATCTGATCGACACATTACACTCAGGGAGTGACCAAGGAGATCTGATCGACACTCTACACTCAGGGAGTGACCAAGGAGATCTGATCGAAACTCTACACTCAGGGAGTGACCAAGGAGATCTGATCGACACTCTACACTCAGGGAGTGACCTAGGAGATCTGATCGACACATTACACTCAGGGAGTGACCTAGGAGATCTTATCGACACATTACACTCAGGGAGTGACCAAGGAGATCTGATCGACACATTACACTCAGGGAGTGACCAAGGAGATCTGATCGACACATTACACTCAGGGAGTGACCAAGGAGATCTGATCGACACATTACACTCAGGGAGTGACCTAGGAGATGTGCTCTGCACTCTACACTCAGGGAGTGACCAAGGAGATCTGATCGACACTCTACACCCAGAGGAAAATCAAGGGGACACATAATCAAACTGCTACTGGCACATCGCAATAGAAAGTCTGGACTGACTGCTAAAGATTAGGATGGAGCACTTATGGGAATGTCCCCAGAGCTGTAATGCAAGTTCTTAGATCAAGACTCAACTCACAACACTCTTTTAAGACTGATCTATTTATATGGTTGTCTGTAGGATTCATTAACCAACTGAAGAGCTAAAGTTCCATAATTCAGGCCTTCCTAGTGATTAGTTAATAGTGATTTGAAAGGATTGTCATCACAGCACTCCGGACAGATCCATAGGTGCTCCGATCTCCCCCTCAAAAGCTCCACAAGTGTAAAACTGAAGTGAAATAGGAAAGCGGACAGAAGGGGTTAAATTGAAAAGGCATACATTTCAGAACAGCATCTAGGCAAGCCAATCCATCACTGGTTGGCATGACAGGAAACAGTGATTAGAAAGCTGGCCTGACCAGCGATACAGATAAAACCAGGTGCACTGTGACCAGTTGAATAGATACGTTTATCTAAACGTGACCACCAGAGACAGATGACAGAGGGTGATTGAGAACCCACGCGAGAAAGAGAGGGGAAGCGGGGCTGAAGGTTAAGGGTAGAGGAGCGAGGAGAAGTCAGTTAGTACCTGGCGGTTTGAGAGAGCAGGGAAAGACAGTTAGCACCGAGCCGCTTAAGAGAGCAGTTGGGAACACTTCGTGAGAAGGGATATGTAAAACTTGGAGTTTAGCTAGAACAGTGATTAAGGAACTCATAGAGAGACATACGAACAGATACAGTAATAAGATAATGAAGTGTTCCTATAATATTGGTTATTGAAATGATTCATTCTGTTTGACTTGACAATATTGTTAACAAACAAACTCCTGTGTAATTGTTACATCACTGGCCTTGTTGTTAAATACGATTCAAGAGGGCTACGAACTGTATCCATACACCTTAGTCGCATTAGGCACATCCATACTTGGGGGATGTAAAGACACAACTGTGTCACAAAACGACTGATGACGCCTGTTCTTGTCCCCTTAGTGCTGCACCCCCATGTCCATCAGTCTAGACAGGGATATGGAGTCATGTCCTTTGGCGTGCTCCTCGGTACGGTAAGTGCAGCGCATGGCATTGATAACATCACTTCTGTCCAGTACTGGGCCAGCCAAAGCAACAGCAGTGTCAGCAAGATAGCACGCTCGTTTCCTTGAACACCCGCATTACCTGGCTCAGAGATAAGGGTTAGGGCAGATATTCATGAGGTGCTTAGTGTTCAATCCATTCATGCCTGATAAAGCCAGCTTGGATGTTTTGAAGCATATTCATAGAGTCACTAAGAATGCATTCGTGTGTGTACTTTTGAGTACCAAGCCATGCTAAAGCCCTTGTTACAGCCATAGTTTACATTGTAAGGCTACTAGTTGTAACAGCAAAGGCTCCATTCATCTCCTTGATGGTTTCCCCCCTTGAGCTTACTGTAAAGGCCCATGCGCTTCGCTTGCCTCTAACTACTGACCCAACTGTGTAAACTATAGCATCCCCTTCATCTGTGTTTTCGTCAATCTGTTTCTGGCCTTTATCTTCCCTGGCATGAGATATGAGGCAGGGCCGGTCTTGCACATGACACTGTTTCACGCGATTGGAGAAAGGCTTGAGATCTCTGCACCACAGCACATTTGTACGCCAATCTCCCCCCGTCGTTGTTCAGCCCTTGTCCATCTCTGTCCTCGACGGTGAGGAAAGGACTTGAAATCTGGACGGGGCAGGGTGGGCGTTGTCTTTTACCGTAACCATCTGGCGATACCGTAATAGGCAATGATAGGAGCATCTCAATTAGGCGATAATGGTGGACACTGTGAATACATTAGCTGTTCAGCGGAACACTTAAATGAAATAATAAATGATGTTAAAAAACATACAATGATACAACGTGCACGGATACAATATGCATTAATACAACATACATTGATACAACACACACTGATACACCATGCACTGATGCAACATACATTGATACAACATACACTGATACAACATACACAGATACAATATACACTGATACAACATACATTGATACAACATACATTGATACAACATAAACTGATAACAACATACACTGATACAACATACACTTAAACAACATACCCTGATACAACTTACGCTGGTTCAACATACACTTATACGATATCAATTATACAAAATACAATGACACAATATACACTAATACAACATACAGTGACCCAACCTATATTGATACAACACACAGTGATACAACATATACTGATACAACATACAGTGACCCAACCTATATTGATACAACACACAGTGATACAACATATACTGATACAACATACAGTGACCCAGCCTATATTGATACAACACACAGTGATACAACATATACTGATACAACATACAGTGACCCAACCTATATTGATACAACACACAGTGATACAACATATACTGATACAACATACAACGCTAAAACAAATAATGATGTGATTTAATGTACCCTCCGTCCACTAATAATCAAACATGAAATATTTGTGGCCTCAATTCAGCTGCCAAATGTGTTTGTTCATTGGCAAGGTTTCTGCGAATTTGTAGGGTATATTACCCCCCCCCCCCCCCACCCCAGGTAACACAACAAGTATACGCCGCATACTGTCACACCCCCCCCCCCCCCCCCGCCCCAACCCACATTTTTCTGACAGTTTTGATATATTAAAAAATACACACAGAAAACATGACGATCTTTTTGTCTGTAGTGGGGGATGGGTGGGGCACATACATAACATTTAACAATTCAACTTGTTGTTTATCTCTCTAGACGCTAAAGGTTCACACTCAAGAAAGACCCCCCCCCCCCCCAACCCCCACCTGAACTCACCTGAACTGCTAGCCAATGCCGGAATCATACAGCACAGACAAGCTGCAGCACTAAACAACATGGCTAGAGAATAGAACCTCTTCCTTCCCAGTCGAGGTAAGGCTCCTAGTGTGGCGATGTTGCCTAGGGTTTCCACCAATCCGTTCAGGGCAAAGTTCAAATAGATACTGCCCCCTAGAGAGCCAACGTTCAAGGTCAGGCCATAATAGACCAAGTTCACAACCAGCCTACATAAAAAAAAAAAAAAAAACTAGATGTAAAAAAACAAATCACGTTAGCTAGAGTAAAACTGCAAATGTATTGAACACCTCTGAATAATCTAGTTTTATATATATGTACATAAGAACCCCAATCTCTGGGAGTCGGTTCTACTAATTCAGGTCTGCACAAACTGGAACCCTAATCTCAACCAAAAAAGTCCTGCTCAGATTGCTTACTTGATTCTCAAAGAAAGTTTGAATTAATCTAGTAACAGAAAGTGTATTGATCGGCACTCATAGATAGAAGTAGAAAGATAGAAGAACACATTCTATGAGTGCCGATCAATACACTTTATTGTTACTTGATTATTTCATTGTATTTAGCGGCCTCAAAGGTTCCCCCTCTGTTTATTCAAAGAAAAGGTTCCATCATTTGTGGAAGCTGGATCCGGTTTAAAAAAAAAAAAAAAAACCTGTCAAGTTTCTATTTCTACAGATCGCGCTATCAGACAGTCGTGACACCTGACTGACATTATCTTAATCAAACACAGTTTGCCTCTCTTCCATAAGTCAACATTATCTTCTTAAACACTGGCTGAGATGTTTGACAACTTCCGAAGTTGAGCATGTGTATGAAAGTTTCCCACTTTGAGACACGAGATGCATTCACCAGAAAGCCAATGCCGAGCTGAATTCAGCTTTCAGGGACACCTTCCCGGATGTTTCCAGTAACTGGTTGGTAGATTAGAGAAATGTGTGCCAGTGGGTTGACATCTTCGGCAGCATTTGAGAGAATTTGAAAAAATAAATCACTGTGCCTGTCTCTTATTATCTGAGTGGATCTCTGCGAATTATTATAAAGCCAATAATGGCGACTTCCTTGTTTTTAATTTTGTCGTTCAGGGGATTTTCGGTAAATCCAAAAATATGAAATAGATTAGAACCTAACTGACAACTCGGTAATCTAAATATTCAAAAATATTCAGATGACCTTTGTTATCACAATCGACCGCTTTGCACATAGGGCATCACCATACGTGCCTAATCCTTTGATGCAGCAGCCATTCCAAAGTACCTTTGCTGCTTGTTCCCATGACAAAATCAGATACAATATCTTGATGACACCACTTATGGAGACAGGAGTTTGTCCTTGGTTGATGAACTGGATAGCAGCTGCTTTGTATTCTCGTCAGGTAGCCCTCCGCCTGGGTTCATGTCTATCCACAACCTTCTTAAAGTCCATGCCGTGTGGCGTTGATAGTCATGTCTATCCACAACCTTCTGTCTCGTGTACATGCCGTGTGGCGTTGGTAGTCATGTCTATCTACAACCTTATGTCTCATTTACTTTCAACCATCTCTGACACAGATCATCTTCGATGCCATGATGTCAAACTGTCCAGCATCTGTTCTCTCGGTCTCCCTCCGCCTCTCCTCGCCTACAACTTTTCTACCGTCACGATATACTCCATTTTTCTTCTTCTCATCACATGACCAAAGAATGTAGATTGCCTTTTCCTGATGTGGACAATCAGTTCTCTTCGTAAGTCAGTTTCTTTCAAGACATCTTCATTAATCTTGTTTTATCTGTCCTGTTTTCTTTGTAATTACCATTATTTTTTTTTTTTTTCTGCTGGCTATCGCATAATTCGTCTGTAAAACTACATTTCCGCAGTTTTCAAATAAGTTTTTACTATTTTACCAACTGTCAATGATTCACATCTGTATATCAAGCTAGGATTTATTTAGTTTTAAATCATTCTCTTTTTCGTCTCAACTGACAAAGATAAATTGCTCATCACAGCTTGTACTACTGGTCAGTCTTATGTCATATCACAGCTTGTACTACTGGTTAGTCTTATGTCATATCACAGCTTGTACTACTGGTTAGTCTTATGTCATATCACAGCTTGTACTACTGGTTAGTCTTATGTCATATCACAGCTTGTACTACTGGTCAGTCTTATGTCACAGCTTGTACTACTGGTCAGTCTTATGTCATATCACAGCTTGTACTACTGGTCAGTCTTATGTCATATCACAGCTTGTACTACTGGTCAGTCTTATGTCATATCACAGCTTGTACTACTGGTTAGTCTTATGTCATATCACAGCTTGTACTACTGGTCAGTCTTATGTCACAGCTTGTACTACTGGTCAGTCTTATGTCATATCACAGCTTGTACTACTGGTCAGTCTTATGTCATATCACAGCTTGTACTACTGGTCAGTCTTATGTCATATCACAGCTTGTACTACTGGTCAGTCTTATGTCATATCACAGCTTGTACTACTGGTCAGTCTCATGACACTGCTTGTACTACTGGTCAGTCTCATGTCACAGCTTGTACTACTGGTTAGTCTTATGTCATATCACAGCTTGTACTACTGGTTAGTCTTATGTCATATCACAGCTTGTACTACTGGTCAGTCTCATGTCACAGCTTGTACTACTGGTCAGTCTTATGTCACAGCTTGTACTACTGGTCAGTCTTATGTCATGTCACAGCTTTTAATACTGGTCAGTCTCATGTCACAGCTTGTACTACTGGTCAGTCTCATGTCACAGCTTGTACTACTGGTCAGTCTTATGTCCCAGTTTGTACTACTTCTCTGTCTTATGTCACAGATTGTCCTAATGGTCAGTCTTATGTCACAGCTTGCCCTACTGGTCAGTCTCATGTCACAGCTTTTAATACTGGTCAGTCTCATGTCACAGCTTGTACTACTGGTCAGTCTCATGTCACAGCCTGTACTACTGGTCAGTCTTATGTCATGTCACAGCTTTTAATACTGGTCAGTCTCATGTCATGTCACAGCTTGTACTACTGGTCAGTCTCATGTCACAGCTTGTACTACTGGTCAGTCTTATGTCCCAGTTTGTACTACTGCTCTGTCTTATGTCACAGATTGTCCTAATGGTCACTCTTATGTCACAGCTTGCCCTACTGGTCAGTCTTATATCACAGCTTGTACTACTGGTCAGTCTCATGTCACAGCTTGTACTACTGGTCAGTCTTATGTCACAGTTTGTACTACTGCTCTGTCTTATGTCACAGATTGTCATAATGGTCAGTCTTATGTCACAGCTTGACCTACTGGTCAGTCTTATGTCACAGCTTGTACTACTGGTTAGTCTCATGTCCCAGCTTGTACTACTGGTCAGTCTCATGTCACAGCTTGTACTACTGGTAAGTCTTATGTCACAGTTTGTACTACTGGTCAGTCTTATGTCACAGCTTGTACTATTGCTCAGTCTCATGTCACAGCTTGTACTACTGGTCAGTCTTATGTCACAGCTTGTACTACTGGTCAGTCTTATGTCAGAGCTTGTACTACTGGTCAGTCTCATGTCACAGCTTGTACTACTGGTCAGTCTCATGTCACAGCTTGTACTACTGGTCAGTCTCATGTCACAGCTTGTAATACTGGTCAGTCCTATTTCACAGCTTGTACTACTGGTCAGTCTCATGTCACAGCTTGTACTACTGGTCAGTCTTATGTCACAGCTTGTACTACTGGTCAGTCTTATGTCACAGCTTGTACTACTGGTCAGTCTTATGTCATGTCACAGCTTTTAATACTGGTCAGTCTCATGTCACAGCTTGTACTACTGGTCAGTCTCATGTCACAGCTTGTACTACTGGTCAGTCTTATGTCCCAGTTTGTACTACTTCTCTGTCTTATGTCACAGATTGTCCTAATGGTCAGTCTTATGTCACAGCTTGCCCTACTGGTCAGTCTCATGTCACAGCTTTTAATACTGGTCAGTCTCATGTCACAGCTTGTATATACTTGGTCAGTCTCATGTCACCAAGCCTGTACTACTGGTCAGTCTTATGTCATGTCACAGCTTTTAATACTGGTCAGTCTCATGTCATGTCACAGCTTGTACTACTGGTCAGTCTCATGTCACAGCTTGTACTACTGGTCAGTCTTATGTCCCAGTTTGTACTACTGCTCTGTCTTATGTCACAGATTGTCCTAATGGTCAGTCTTATGTCACAGCTTGCCCTACTGGTCAGTCTTATATCACAGCTTGTACTACTGGTCAGTCTCATGTCACAGCTTGTACTACTGGTCAGTCTTATGTCACAGTTTGTACTACTGCTCTGTCTTATGTCACAGATTGTCATAATGGTCAGTCTTATGTCACAGCTTGACCTACTGGTCAGTCTTATGTCACAGCTTGTACTACTGGTTAGTCTCATGTCCCAGCTTGTACTACTGGTCAGTCTCATGTCACAGCTTGTACTACTGGTAAGTCTTATGTCACAGTTTGTACTACTGGTCAGTCTTATGTCACAGCTTGTACTATTGCTCAGTCTCATGTCACAGCTTGTACTACTGGTCAGTCTTATGTCACAGCTTGTACTACTGGTCAGTCTTATGTCAGAGCTTGTACTACTGGTCAGTCTCATGTCACAGCTTGTACTACTGGTCAGTCTCATGTCACAGCTTGTACTACTGGTCAGTCTCATGTCACAGCTTGTAATACTGGTCAGTCCTATTTCACAGCTTGTACTACTGGTCAGTCTCATGTCACAGCTTGTACTACTGGTCAGTCTTATGTCACAGCTTGTACTACTGGTCAGTCTTATGTCAGAGCTTGTACTACTGGTCAGTCTCATGTCACAGCTTGTACTACTGGTCAGTCTCATGTCACAGCTTGTACTACTGGTAAGTCTTTTGTCACAGCTTGTACTACTGGTCAGTCTTATGTCACAGCTTGTAATACTGGTCAGTCCTATTTCACAGCTTGTACTACTGGTAAGTCTCATGTCACAGCTTGTACTACTGGTCAGTCTTATGTCAGAGCTTGTACTACTGGTCAGTCTTATGTCATATCACAGCTTGTAATACTGGTCAGTCTTATGTCACAGCTTGTACTACTGGTCAGTCTTATGTCAGAGCTTGTACTACTAGTCAGTCTTATGTCACAGCTTGTAATACTGGTCAGTCCTTTTTCACAGCTTGTACTACTGGTAAGTCTCATGTCACAGCTTGTAATACTGGTCAGTCTCATGTAACAGCTTGTAATACTGGTCAGTCTCATGTCACAGCCTGTACTACGGGTCAGTCTCATGTCACAGCCTGTACTACGGGTCAGTCTCATGTCACAGCTTGTATGACTGGTCAGTCTCATGTCACAGCTTGTAATACTGGTCAGTCTCATGTCACAGCCTGTACTACGGGTCAGTCTCATGTCACAGCTTGTAATACTGGTCAGTCTCATGTCACAGCTTGTACTACTGGTCAGTCTCATGTCACAGTTTGTACTACTGGTCAGTCTCATGTCACAGTTTGTACTACTGGTCAGTCTCATGTCACAGTTTGTACTACTGGTCAGTCTCATGTCACAGCTTGTACTACTGGTCAGTCTCATGTCACAGCCTGTACTACTGGTCAGTCTCATGTCACAGTTTGTACTACGGGTCAGTCTCATGTCACAGCTTGTACTACTGGTCAGTCTCATGTCACAGCTTGTACTACTGGTCAGTCTCATGTCACAGTTTGTACTACTGGTCAGTCTCATGTCACAGTTTGTACTACTAGTCATATTTGCGACCTTCACCCACAGCAGACATGACAGTCCTGCAGCAAGATGGTAGAGGCAGCCCCACTTCCCCACCCTAATCCCCTTTGTGTATTACTAGACTAAATCTATAACAAAATAGAAACAAAGCCACACATACCAGTTCAGAAATACCACAGCAAATCGGAAAGCCAACACGGGATGAAGAAATATGTCAGTAATTGTGCCTTGATCTTCATCCTTGTCTGGTTCATTGAAAGCATCATCTGGTATTTCTTTCTTGTTGGACTCTGCGATCTTCGTGAGGATAACCCTGGCTTCCTCCAAGCGACCTTTGCTCATCAGCCACCTGGACGACTCTGGAAGCAACCTGGAATAGGACAAAAACATGGATGCTCTATAAAACATGGATCCTCTATAAAACATGACCCTCTGTAAGACATGTATCCTCTATAAAACATGGATTCTTATAAAACATGGATCCTATATAAAACATAAATCCTCCATGTAGTATGAATCCTCTCCAGACTTAGATCCTCTGTAACTCTTAGAGCCTTTGTAAAACATAGATCCTCTATGGAGAGTGGATCCTATGGAAAGCTTAGAACCTCTATGAAGCATTGATCCTGTATAAATCATAGATCCTCAATGAAGCAGGGATAGTCATTAAAACTTGGATTCCCTGTGTATCATGGATCCTCTCTAATGATGTGTAGATATAAAATGAGAACAAACATATAGGAAACATCAAAAGGAAACAGCCACAACTACTGGCCATGTAATCAGAAGAAATAATGGAGCATGTTTGCAATATGTGATCCGGGGGTCGTGGGTCAGAAAGGGGGTGGGGGGGGGGAATGTATCGATATCCGGCAAACTGACTAGGGTAATGATCGTCAGTCAGTAAGTCAGTCAGTAAGTCAGTCAGTCAGTCAGTCAGTCAGTCAGTAAGTCAGTCAGTCAGTCAGTCAGTAAGTCAGTAAGTCAGTCAGTCAGTCAGTCAGTCAGTCAGTCAGTCAGTCAGTCAGTCAGTCAGTAAGTCAGTCAGTCAGTAAGTCAGTCAGTAAGTAAGTCAGTCAGTCAGTCAGTCAGTAAGTCAGTCAGTCAGTCAGTCAGTCAGTCAGTATCATGACCTTTGCAGAACCTTGCTCCCATAACAACCCCCCAGAAAACTTCTCCATCACAAGCAAGATGTCCCGAGTTCGATACACCCATCTGGAGATCATCCGCCACATTCTATCTTTTCTTTGCCCTTCCTCTTCCTCTCTTCCCAGGCATTCACCCCTCCATTATTGTTCTCTCTAAACTTTCGTGATGTTTCATGTGACCAAAATATTTCAATTTTCTATGTGTTATCGTCTTTAAAAGCAAACCTTTTTTAATATTCAGTTCTTGAAGTATGGATGCATTAGTTCTTGTCTGTACCTATGATATTCTTAGAACCCGTCTATAACATTTGTATTTAAAGGATTTATGCGCTGTTCAGCTTGTTTAGTAACTGTCCAGGTCTCACAGGCGTATGTTGCAATGGCAAAGATGCATACTCTTAGAAGTCTAATGTTTCTAGTTCTGTCTGTCCCACTCCATAATTTATTTAGTTGTTTTAGTCCTTAAAGAGCGACATATAGTCGACATTTAATTCCTTTCATTGTGTCACTAATTTGGTAATTATTGAATTTAGATATTCAAAACTTTCCACAACCTCCAATCTTTTCTCATTAACATATATTTCTTTCTCCAAAGTAGTTTTATCGTAATGATCATGTTCTATTCATATATACAAACGTTGCCTAGTCGACAAGGAACTACCAGACCTAGGGAAACCACGTCAACACCAATACATTACAAGTCATCTCCAATAGTGCACCAGTCTCTTCATTGTGGACGAACACCCTGAGATGAGGAATTTGTGGTCAAGGAACACTATCAGCCTGGTGTCGAATTCTGCCAAGTATACACACCAGCAGACTCCATAGGCGGCATCGCCGCAAAAGCGTCACCTAGCCACGACTTGACTTGAGTCCACAACACACAAACGCCTTCAGCATATCTGCCCACTTCAGGGGTCACCAGTAGACAACAATATTGCATTCGTCTGTGCCCACACTCCTGGGGTCACCAGTAGACGACAATATGGCATTCGTCTGTGCCTAAACTCCAGGGGTCACCAGTAGACTACAATATCGCACTCGTCTGTGCCTACACTCCTGGGGTCAACTGTAGACGACAATATCGCATTCGTCTGTGCCTACACTCCTAGGGTCACCAGTAGACGACAATATGGCATGCGTCTGTGCCTAAACTCCAGGGGTCACCAGTAGACTACAATATCGCACTCGTCTGTGCCTAAACTCCAGGGGTCACCAGTAGACTACAATATCGCACTCGTCTGTGCCTACACTCCTGGGGTCAACTGTAGACGACAATATCGCATTCGTCTGTGCCTACACTCCTGGGGTCACCAGTAGACGACAATATGGCATTCGTCTGTGCCTACACTCCAGGGGTCACCAGTAGACGACAATATCGCATTCGTCAGTGCCTACACTCCTGGGGTCACCAGTAGACGACAATATGGCATTCGTCTGTGCCTACACTCCTGGGGTCACCGGTAGACTACAATATCGCATGCGTCAGTGCCTACACTCCTAGGGTCACCAGTAGACGACAATATCGCATGCGTCAGTGCCTACACTCCTGGGGTCACCAGTAGACTACAATATCGCACTCGTCTGCGCCTACACTCCTGGGGTCACCAGTAGACTACAATATCGCATTCGTCTGTGCCTACACTCCTGGGGTCACCAGTAGACGACAATATCGCATTCGTCTGTTCCTACATTCATGGGGTCACCTGTAGACGACAATATCGCATTCGTCTGTTCCTACACTCCTGGGGTCACCAGTAGACTACAATATCGCACTCGTCTGTGCCTACACTCCTGGGGTCACCAGTAGACTACAAAATGGCACTCGTCCATGGGCCCACACCTAGGATCACAGATAGCATTGAACCGCAATTATCGCTAAACAAGCCAGGTGGACCTGCGGGGAAGCAGGTCAATAGTACTGCTAGGAAAAGACCCGCAAGACTAAATATAACAGCCACTGTCTCCGGCCCAAACTGCAATTATCATCAGTCAAATAAGACAGTGATTAGATCAAGTGTCGATATCTCACCGCCTCGTCTCCACTAAATACACTCAATGGGAAGATTACGAATAATACACTAAATTGTAATGAAAAGTCCAAACTCTCCAAAACAATAAAGTAGTACACACAATTGTGTGTATGTGTGTGTTGTCCATCAAGATGGTGATGATCACTTTTTTATATCAAGTATGAGTACGAAAATGACTGAAAAGTTCTTGGACAGTGAGGACAGGAAATGAGTGTTGTGCCGATGGGGAGGAGATCTCCTGCAGTCGCCTTTCTGTCCATCCTTTTCCTAATCAGTCTTGCTTTTCTGTTTGCTTCACATGTAGACGCGCCCTTGTGTAGAGTTGCACGTCATGCCTTTCGGTCTTGAGAGGCAACCTCCCAATTGGATGTCATTCATCCCAAATGCTTTGAGTGAAGACTTCAAGGTGTCCTTAAAGCGTTTCTTTTGCCAGCCTTGGAAACGTTTCCCATTTTGCAGCTCACCAAAGAAGAGTTTTTTTTTGGGGAGCCTGCGATCTGGTAATGAAAGAGTGACTTTAGCGGTGACCTGGATTAGAGTGCGAAAGAGTTGCGCTGTGTCGTCGACCTCACTGTCTCGCCTGAGTCATATCTGGGTCCAGTGGCAAGACTGAGTCAGGACGACTGGAGATATGTACACACAATTACGAATAAAGGTCACACACGTCCAAACTAAGAAACACTTGTCTCAATCTTCATGTAGCGTGGACCGTTTGCACTAGTCTCTGTCATCATCATTATCTAGCGCCTTTACGACTAGCAAAGGCAATGACGCATCTAGACCTCTGGTACACATGAATAACAAAGTCAGTTCAGCGCACAACAATGTGCCTTTGACTATGGCCAGCCACTCCTCACAGACTGTCCAGTGCACTGTACAACAATCGACTGGAGCCCGAAGAGTGTTTACAATCTGAGTAACGTTGGCCTGGAGACATGTCTCCACCTAAACCTGCACGTCTCATAGCCCGGATAAGGACATTTGAATATGAAATATTTGAAGCGGTCACGTGTACAAACATTTATCCAGTAGAATTTATCGTATTAAAAGTCAGTTAATTAAAAAGACAGAAGCTAAATAGGATTAATGTGTTCTGTAGCGACTGAATACGGAAGAACATACCACCACAGGGGCAAGAACAGAACGGCGTAACATGAAGCAGCTAGCTGCAAATGTTTCCAGTCTCGAATACCATACGCCATCAGATCCAGCAGAAGCATGCCAGCACACCAGAAAAAGTTGATGCTGACGCCAGCGACTGTCCGCCATTGCCGGCCCACCAGCTCCATTCCTGGAAGTATTCACTTTATTAGAATTATGCATCTATCTATGTCTGTCTTCTGCTCTCCCCCTCCCGCCCATATATATATATATATATATATATATATATATATATATATATATATATATATATATATATATATATATATATATTTGAATAAATTATTTCCAGTGATATAGTCCGTTCCAAATGTTGTGCTGTTCTTCTTCCTTCTTCTGTTCTCTACTTCTGGAATGTGTCACGGCCTTAGGGTAGAAAGAGATCTCTAGAATGCGCCATTCTGTTCTCTACTTCTGGAATGTCTCACGGTCTTAGGGTAGAAAGAGATCTCTAGAATGCGCCCTTCAATTCGCTTCGTATATAATACTTTTCAGTGACTCTGATATTTCTGCTGTCCATCTTCTGCGTGGTCGACCTCTGAGTCTGTTACCACTGTATTTGTATGACAATAATCTATGTGGCGTCCTGTCTGCTTCTAATCTCGTTACAAGGCCAAACCATTTGACTGATCGTCTACCTAAAAGGTTCAGTACTGATTCTGTGCCGATTCTTCTCCTGATATCATCCTTTCTAAGTGGTGCTTTTAAACTATCAAATATTTCTAAACCCCCAAACTGATCAACAAGAATTTTTCCTGTTGTCTTGTACATGCCACGGCCTTATGATTTAATAACTTTAAAGTGCGCAGGTGCTGCTGTTTTCTTACAGCGGCTAGTTTCTAAAATATTGTCGGACTAATATTGTGTGTACCCCTTAAAAAAACACAAATCGTTAATTTTTTTAGGCTAGCCAACAAGCGTTATGGCAATACATGACGTATCCACCTCACTAATAAAAACAAGTTCATGTTAGTAGCACAGATTACATCCAAAACGCGGCCAATTTGATAGTTTGCCAAATTCGCGCCATGCCTTTACCGTAAACATGCTAACTGTATGCTCCCAACCAGTGTCCACAAACATGTCACAACAAGATTTTGGTAAGAACAACAAATAGTTTTCTACAAGGACATGATTAAAGCAATGTTTTCCTGTTGTGAATTTGAATAAAAAGGACATAAACGACAGTTTGCACAATTTATTGTCTGTAATATTTCCATATCTCGTCAAGTGCACACTAGAGTAACAATAGATTAGAATGAAGTAAAAAGATAATTCCTTCAAACTAAAACATAAAATCGAATATAAACCGCTTTAAACGGGTTTAGTTCAGAATGATGCAGACAAAATGACGACAGACTATGAGATTGACGGTGCTGGAAAACGTGTTAGTTGACGGTGCTGGAAAACGTGTTAGTTGACGGTGCTGGAAAACGTGTTAGTTGACGGTGCTGGAAAACGTGTTAGTTGACGGTGTTCTGGAAAACGTGTTAGTTGACGGTGCTGGAAAACGTGTTAGTTGACGGTGCTGGAAAACGTGTTAGTTGACGGTGCTGGAAAACGTGTTAGTTGACGGTGCTGGAAAACGTGTTAGTTGACGGTGTTCTGGAAAACGTGTTAGTTGACGGTGTTCTGGAAAACGTGTTAGTTGACGGTGCTGGAAAACGTGTTATTATGAGTAGGCAGTTTAACGTTGTATGTTGAGTAGCGATAGTCTAGTGTGTGTAATTGTATTTGTCAACGTATCTATTGCCAGATGATTTATCTGTATCCTAGCCATGGGGTTTGTACGGGGGGGGGGGGGGGGGGGCGGCTGTGAATTGTGTAGAAGAAGAAGAAAGCGATGTCGTGGGTATCGTACCCAGGCGTATCAGCTCAGTGACGAGGTCTATCTGAGCATTCTACCCAGAGCATAGCAGAAGTAGGGCAGTTGAGCTGTAGGTAACAGAGGGGCAGGAAAGTGCTTGTATCAGAGGTTGTTTGTTCGGACCTGGTTAACGCCTGCAGGTAACCGTAAAGCCAATTGGATTGGATTTTTTACCCCACCAGGACATCACACAAGCGATAAACACCCGATGACACAAAGTGCCACCATGCGGATGAGGATCACCGTGGAGAGGTCCCAGAAACCGCGTTCAGACATTTGGCCATAATGATGACCTGCCTATATTGCGGCCCCTGGCAAAAGCCAGAGTGGGGCTTCAAATAACAAAAAATAACGTCCTAAGAAGGACGAAAAGCAATAATATGTAAAGCCAATGTGTGAGTGGCAATTTTAAAGCACTTCTGCTTTTTTTTGGGTGGGGGGTGGGGGTGGGTTATAACGCAAACCACCTCTCAGGCCAACTGCCTCTGCCTTCTTTAGTAGCATTAGAGCTGATGTGTAGACTCTGAGGGTGTCTGGCTTGGTTGTGTTAGGATAGACACATTGTCTTGGAGTTGCCAACCAGCCATTGCCTATACGGAGGTAAGCAGCTGCTTGAGTCTGAGTTACAGACATTTAAATTTGGGAACTTGGTTTAGGATGGTATAGGAGTTGCTTAGTAAATTATGCAACCGTCTTTAGATCATATAGGTGTAATTTAGTTGTTTGGCCAGGAGCTACTAGGCGTGCAACTGAGATAAAGAAAGATGCGAGTAACCTACACTCCAGGTTTCAAGATGGGCTGAGCATGGCCATCTTAAGTTTCTTAAGACGGCCATGGGGTGAAGCAAGAGACTGGCTAACTCAACCAGTAGAAAACGTTAACAACGAGATCTAGTCAACCATGCAGAAGTCTACCCAGCACATGAAGGGGATATACAAATTAGCAGCAGAATACAGAGAAGAAGGAGCAAGGACGGACGGACTGATGGACAGACAGAACGAAAGAAGGGAAAAAAGTAAGAAAAAAAGAATAAAAGAAAGAAAGAAATAAAAAAGAAAGAAAGAAAGAAAGAAAGTAAAGTAAAGAAGGAAAGATAAAAAAAAGAAGACTGTAAAAAAAAAAAGAAGAAAGAAAGAAAGAAAAAAAAAAGAAAGAAAGAAAGAAAGAAAGAAAGAAAGAAAGCAAGAAAGCAAGGAAGAAAGAATTAGAAATAAGAACCAATAAGGATAGATGTTGATGTGTAATACATACCACTAACCGAAAGAAATGTTGTGTTCTGCTCCACTGATGGTTGGCGGGAACTTACCCAGGACAAAGAAATGTTGTGTTCTGCTCCACTGATGGGTGGCGGGAACTTACCCAGGACAAAGAAATGTTGTGTTCTGCTCCACTTATGGGTGGCGGGAACTTACCCAGGACAAAGAAATGTTGTGTTCTGCTCCACTGATGGGTGGCGGGAACTTACCCAGGACAAAGAAATGTTGTGTTCTGCTCCACTGATGGGTGGCGGGAACTTACCCAGGACAAAGAAATGTTGTGTTCTGCTCCACTGATGGGTGGCGGGAACTTACCCAGGACAAAGAAATGTTGTGTTCTGCTCCACTGATGGGTGGCGGGAACTTACCCAGGACAAAGAAATGTTGTGTTCTGCTCCACTGATGGGTGGCCGGAACTTACCCAGGACAAAGAAATGTTGTGTTCTGTTCCACTGATGGTTGGCGGGAACTTACCCAGGACAAAGAAATGTTGTGTTCTGCTCCACTTATGGTTGGCGGGAACTTACCCAGGACAAAGAGATGTTGTGTTCTGCTCCACTGATGGGTGGCGGGAACTTACCCAGGACAAAGAGATGTTGTGTGCTGCTCCACTGATGGGTGGCGGGAACTTACCCAGGACAAAGAAATGTTGTGTTCTGCTCCACTTATGGTTGGCGGGAACTTACCCAGGACAAAGAAATGTTGTGTTCTGCTCCACTGGTGGTTGGCGGGAACTTACCCAGGACAAAGAGATGTTGTGTGCTGCTCCACTGATGGTTGGCGGGAACTTACCCAGGACAAAGAGATGTTGTGTTCTGCTCCACTTATGGGTGGCGGGAACTTACCCAGGACAAAGAGATGTTGTGTGCTGCTCCAGTGATGATTGGCGGGAAGTTACCCAGGACAAAGAGATGTTGTGTGCTGCTCCACTGAGATGTTGTGTTCTGCTCCACTGATGGTTGGCGGGAACTTACCGAGGATAAAAGAAATGTTGTGTTCTGCTCCACTGATGGGTGGCGGGAACTTACCCAGGACAAAGAAATGTTGTGTTCTGCTCCAGTGATGGGTGGCGAGAACTTACCCAGGACAAAGGCAGACAACATGATGCCCATGTTACTGACCCCAGTCAGGAACCGGCAGACGACGAAAGTGACGTAGTTGGGGGAGAACAAAACAAGCACTGACGTCACCACGTGCAAGGTGACGGCCATCATCAAGCTCGGCTTCCTGCCCTTTCTGCAACAAACAGTGGATTTCATGACAGATGGTACATTTCTACAACAGTGGATTTCATGACAGATGGTACATATCTGCAACAGTGGATTTCATGACAGATGGTATATTTCTGCAACAGTGGATTTCATGACAGATGGTACATTTCTGCAACAAACAGTGGATTTCATGACAGATGGTACATTTCTACAACAGAGGATTTCATGACAGATGGTACATTTTTGCAACAGTGGATTTCATGACAGATGGTAAATTTCTACAACAGTGGATTTCATGACAGATGGTACATTTCTGCAACAAACAGTGGATTTCATGACAGATCGTAAATTTCTACAACAGTGGATTTCATGACAGATGGTAAATTTCTACAACAGTGGATTTCATGACAGATGGTAAATTTCTACAACAGTGGATTTCATGACAGATGGTAAATTTCTACAACAGTGGATTTCATGACAGATGGTACATTTCTGCAACAAACAGTGGATTTCATGACAGATGGTACATTTCTGCAACAAACTGGATTTCATGACAGATGGTAAATTTCTACAACAGTGGATTTCACGACAGATTATAGACGATAAACAGATCAAGTCTCAAAAGTCAGTACATTTCATAATAGACAGTAGATTTCTAACGGACAGAACAATTTTCAACAGACAGTAGATTTCTCACAGACGAAACAGTTCTCAACAGACAATAGATTTCTGACAGACGAAACAATTCTAAACAGAGAGCAGATTTCTCACACACGAAACAATTCTCAACAGACTAGATTTATGACAGACGAAACAATTCTCAATAGATTGCAGATTTCTCACAGACGAAACAGTTCTCAACAGACTAGATTTCTGACATACGAAACAGTTCTCAACAGACTAGATTTCTGACTGACGAAACAATTCTCAACAGACAGCAGATTTCTCACAGACGAAACAGTTCTCAGCAGACTAGATTTCTGACAGACGAAACAGTTCTCAACAGACTAGATTTCTGACTGACGAAACAGTTCTCAACAGACTAGATTTCTCACAGACGAATCAGTTCTCAACAGACTAGATTTTTGACAGACGAAACAATTCTCAACAGACAGCAGATTTCTCACAGACAAAACAGTTCTCAACAGACTAGATTTCTGACAGACGAAACAGTTCTCAACAGACAGCAGATTTCTCACTGACGAAACAGTTCTCAACAGGAAGTATATTTCTCACAGACGAAACAATTCTCAACAGACAGTATATTTCTCACCAACGGAACAATTTTCAACAGACATTAGATTTTTCACAGACGAAACAATTCTCAACAGACAGCAGATTTCTTACCAACGGAACAATTTTCAACAGACAGTAGATTTCTCACCAACGGAACAATTTTCAACAGACAGTATATTTCTCACCAACGGAACAATTTTCAACAGACAGTAGATTTCTCACCAACGGAACAATTTTAAACAGACAGTAGATTTCTCACCAACGGAACAACTTTCAACAGACAGTAGGTTTCTCACCAACGGAACAACTTTCAACAGACAGTAGGTTTCTCACCAACGGAACAATTTTCAACAGACAGCAAATTTCTTACCAACGAAACAATATTCAACAGACAGTATATTTCTCACCAACGGAACAATTTTCAACAGACAGCAGATTTCTTAGAAACGGAACAATATTCAACAGACAGTAGATTTCTCACCAACGGAACAATATTCAACAGACAGTAGATTTATTACAAACAGAACAATTTTCAACAGACAGTAGATTTCTTACAAACGGAACAATTTTCAACAGACAGTAGATTTCTTACAAACGGAACAATTTTCAACAGACAGTAGATTTCTCACCAACGGAACAATTTTCAACAGACAGTAGATTTCTCACCAACGGAACAATTTTCAACAGGCAGTAGATTTCTAACCAACGGAACAACTTTCAACAGACAGTAGATTTTTGACGAAAGAGTTCTTAACAGACTAATTTTTTTCACAGCTCCTTTTGTGCTTCGTTAGTAATCATTTCTTTCCAAACATCCAGTCTCGTGTACATTCAAATACGTCTGACACCCACGCACTTCAATGTCGAGGTGTCAAACTGCAAGATTTTCTCTTTCTGTCTCCACCTGCCTCTTTTCTCCTCCAACTGTCTCACCATCACGATGTACTCCAGTTTTCTCCTTTTTGTTAAAGGAAAGAGAAAATATAGATTGTCTCCTTATGTGGGCAAACAATTCTGAACAGACAGTAAATGTCTGAACAGACAGTACATTTCTGATTTGACAATACATTTTTAAACAGACAGTAAATGAATAACAGTAAATTCCTTCAAAATTGGAGAGTGCATCTGCCTGATGATCAAGGAACCAACAAACTGCAAACAAATAAGCTAGCACACAACACTTGGGTTCTGGAACAAAACTTGAGTTCAGAGGTGGACGAACAACCAGAACATTGCGTTAAAATTTACAACCGCTGAACACAAAGAACAAAAAGAAATAAATAAACAGAGAAAAAAAAAAAACAAATGTATGAAAAGTTCGATGTTGTGAGGGTGTTTTATATAGGGCTGTACCGAATAGTGATTTTTACTATTCGGCCGAAAACGAATAACGGGACCAACTATTTGGCCGAATACAAATACGAATAGTGTAAAGTGTATCATCATCATCCTCATGTAGCAGGTCCTTTGCAGAACGTCGCTCTCATCACAGTCTGCCTGTAAGAAACTTTGTCTCTTGCCAGTTCTCCCACCTCATGAACTTACACACTCAAGGAGTCACTTATATCCTGTGCCCATCTTCGTGTCGGTCGGCCTCTGCCCCTCCTTCCTGGTACCATGCCTTTTGCTACAATTTTTTTCCAATTCGTCGTGGCGCTTGATATGACCAAAATATTTCAGCTTTCGAGAAAGGTTGCTGTTTATTAGCCAATCTTCCTTGATGTTCAGATCTTTTAAGATGTCAATATTTCTCATCTTCTTTGTCCAAGATATTCTGAGAATCTTTCTATAGCATTTCAGCTCAAAAGCCCCTATTCTCTTTCTAAAGGACTGAGAGATAGTCCACGACTCACATCCGTATGTAGCCACAGGGAAGATGCATGCTCTCAAAATTATAATTTTTATCTCCTTGCTGGTGCTTAACCATAGACTTTTAAGGCTGTTCAATCTTTGCATTGCTATGGCCATCCTCTTTTTAATTTCTGTCGAACAGTCTCCATTGTTGTTTATTATAGAGCCTAGATATTCAAAGTTTGCGACATTTTCAATTTCTTTATCATTTATTGTTATTTTTGGGTGACAGCCAGTTTTATCTGTAGACATTATTTTCGTGTTCTTTAAATTCAAGAACAGATTTTGATCTTCACTGTGCTTTTGGACAGACAATATTAAAATTTCTATTCCCTTTACGCTGTTCGAAAGGAGCACTGTATCATCTGCGTAGCGGAGTTCCGGAATAGGGTTGCTACCAATTTTGAGCGGTAAAGTGTATAAAAAAAAAAAAAAAAATTTATATATATATATATATATATATATATATATATATATATATATATATATATATATATATATATATATATATATATATATATATATATATATATATATATATAAATTCATAATGTCAAATGTACGCTGAACTTTTACTGCGTAACACAGCATAGTCATCTTCTTGTTTTGCATTGTGAGCCCTTGAGGTTTACTGATGCAGATCACTCGTCTCCATTCATCTCTCTGGCTGGTCTTATCTTCTTAATTTGTGAAATTAGTTGTTTGCAGGTCTGGCTGGACATTATCTCTCCAACTTCTTTTTTGTCTGCCTCGTGGTCTACGCCCATTTGTCTCTCAGGAGTATACAATTTTACTTTTCTGTCATCTGACATTCTTTCAATATGCCCTAGCCATTTTAGTCTGTTAGCTCTCATGATGCCAGTGATCAATGGAGATTTAAACAGATTATGTGTTACATTGTTGCTTCTCACTCTCCGTTCCCCGCTGTTAACATTGTTGATGGGTCCAAAGATTTGTCGTAAGAATGTTTTCGAAAAACTGTAATAAGGCCTCATCTCTTTTATTTCTGCTTCAAGTTTCAGAGCCATATAAAATGACTGGTCTTATGAACGTTTTATATATTTTGATCTTGATGTTGCGAGACAGACACTTTAACTTTGCAGATGTTGAAGGACATATTATACTTTATTTCTAGATTGTACTCTAGATTGTATTTCTTCTCTCAGCATGTTGGAGCAGTTGAAGTTTGCACCCAAATACTTATATGTTTCTGTTCGTTTGATTTTCAAATTATCGACTTGGATGTGGCCGGACTTTATATTCTTTCCATGTCTAGTTAGTATTCGTACAGTATACTGCATTAGCTTTCAACAAAACCAAATCGTTCCATGTTGTCAGTATTAAGGCCGTGTATGCAGAAGCGGATGTAAGATAACTACTATTCGTATTCGGCCCGACCGCAACTATTCGGCCGAATACCGAATAGTTAATAGGTCCACTATTCGGCTCCGAAGCGAATACGAAGCGAATATTCGGTACAGCCCTAGTTTTAGAAACGGGTAAACAGTGCGGAGGTGGCGATAGATCATTACAGTCTTAGGAGAATAGCGCTGCGAGAAGTTACCAGGGGATCTGGCCGACGCTCAACACTCAGGGGAAGGATGAGACGGATGTACAGTCAGACGGTTCCTGTACCATCAGAATTGGAACTCTTTGCTTGCTGCTGAAGATGGTGATTTAGCACTTATGGGCGTTTCCCGAGTGCCCTGATGTCGATTCTTAATTTAACATTCAACATTCATAAAACAAAAGAACACTCACATGTCAGCGAGGATGCCGAAAACGATTGATCCTACGAGGAAACCTCCCATGTAGATCATGTTGGCGTGGGATCTGAGACTGGATCGCCTACACACAAGATCCATCTGAGCAAACATAGACATGTGTTGGTGCTACTATTATCTCTTTATTATTTATTCTTCTTCTGTTGCTACTATCAGAATCTCCGAGCGAGGACGCACATGGAAATCTTATTTCCAGAACCAGTGAGCCAATTGATTTCTCAAATCAGTTCCCTCTGAACCTACATTGTATCAGAACCCTGTACGTTCCAGAACCGACAGGGAGGACTACATGTTTCTGGTCTCACTGCTGCCGACCAAGAAAACATTTTATCGTGTGCTAGGCCTTCTATTCACCTTTTGACTCACTGGCCACTTCCGGAGAGTTCCAGTCTGCAAACCTGCCAGTTTGAGTTCTCCAAGTGCATTTAAACCAAAATTATTAACAGGATAGCAACATAACCCACTAGTCTGTTACAGTAAAGAAAGGCAAACATGGAAGAAAGAGAGAGAGAGAGAGAGAGAGAGAGAGAGAGAGAGAGAGAGAGAGAGAGAGAGAGAGAGAGAGGGAGAGAGAGAGAGAGAGAGAGAGAGAAAAGAAATCAAGAACGGATGAAATGAGGTTAAAGGAAAGAAAGAAACAAATAAAAATGAGAACGAGGAAAAGAAAGAAATATATATTGCAAACCTGAGTGACAACAGTGTTTTGGAAATTCGACTGGTCGTAAGTCCAGTGATGACACGGTCTGAAGGTGTACAAGGCTGGATCCTGGACCTGCCCCTCACCTCCGTCCAACACTTGTCTGTGGATGAACGTTTGGAGGGTTGACTACCTGAAATACTGACTGATCAACTCAGAGAACAGCCGTGATGTACCGGCTAAACGCTCACCTGCTGATCCTGGCAGTGCCCAATTTTTTTCGTTTGTTCAAAAATAACATTAAATGGACTGTAGGTAAAGTCCTGGATGTAAAGGCCGCCGGCGTAATGTTGACACATCACTCACCGAGTGTTGATCGTTCTATGAAATGTAATGTCTAACCCTATGTGCCCAATATGCATACAGGCATGGAAAAGGATACATTATTTTTACCAAAAACTGAGAAAACCCGGAGAAACATGTAAAGAATATGGTTATCGTTGTTCGTCAATGTATACTTTGGCTTTGTGCCAAGGCCTGAATTTTGCATTTTGTTGTTGTTGATTGGGTTCAAGTACCGATTCAGGGCCTAAATACAGTGTGATTGGGCTTTCACTGATGCTTGCAAACCTTTCACCTTTCTAAGTTGGAGGGAAGTGACGTTGTGTTCTGTTATGTATATATTGGGTATTCTGTAGGCGTCCAGGTAAACGTTGTGTTCTGTTATGTATATATTGGGCATCCTGTGAGTGTCCAGGTAAACGTTGTGTTCTGTTATGTATATATTGGGCATTCTGTGAGTGTCCAGGTAAACGTTGTGTTTTATTGGTTGTTCTAAGTGGTCGGCAACATTGCGCATATTCAGGCCTTCTCGGACTTCAAGCACAACATGAATTTATTTCAGTTGTCAGCGACCGGTGTTAACAGTTTTGAAAGCACGGGACGTAGGATGCAGTCTCTCGTAGGACGTAGGCTGAGCCTGTGGGTAGGGGGGGCGGTGGGTTTAGGGCCAGTTCTAGATATTCTGGGGTCACTAAAACCGATCACACCCTGTAATATAGAAGACTCGTGACCGCCTGTAAGAGTGTCGACACAATAAAACCTGGCACCCCTTTAGCTTAGACTAGCGGGTCTCAAATGTTAACACGCATGAATGAACGGTTAATCGCGATGTGCTTGGGCCGGGAATCGTTAGTTGTACCTTTGTTTGCCTTCACTGGCTGCCAACCCCGGTGGGAAGATCGAGTTGTTCGTCCATTCCTGGACTTTGGTTTTGTTCCAGGACCTGAGTTTTGCGTGTGCATTTGTTTTACAGATCCTGATTATTTAATTTTGACTGCTGGTTCCTAAGTCGACTCTCACGACATGCTTGTTGGGGATGCAGTGGACCTATTCTTGTTTTCTCCACAAAAAGACCCCTGAACCTACACGGGAATAAGTTTTGCATGTACATCCGTTTTACTGGGTTTTTAAAAAAATGTGCAGTTGGCTGTTCCCTGCCATTCAGGAAGATAAACTCCGACTTCGAAGAAAGCCACCAATAGTCGACTTCCACGATTCGCGTTTTGGGGAAACAGGGTTTATTTCAGTTTTCTTCACAATAGGGCCCGGGAACCCACACGAGCCCAGGAACCCACACGAGCCATGGAACCCACACGAGCCCAGGAACCCACACGAGCCCAGGAACCCATATGAGCCCAGAAACCCACACGAGTCCAGGAACCCACATGCAGAACCCACACGAGCCCCGGAACCCACACAAGCCCCAGAACCCACACGAGCCCAGGAACCCACACGAGTCCCAGAATCCACACGAGCCGCAGAACCCACACGAGCACAGGAACCCACACGAGCCCCAGAACCCACACGAGCCACAGAACCCACATGAGCCCCAGAACCCACACGATCCCCAGAACCCACACGAGCCCGGGAACCCACACGAGCCCCAGAACCCACACGAGCCCTAGAACCCACATGAGCCCCAGAACCCACACGAGCCCCAGAACCCACACGAGCCCCAGAACCCACACGAGCCCCAGAACCCACACGAGCCCCAGAACCCACACGAGCCCCAGAACCCACAGGACCCCAGGAACTCACACGAGCCCAGGAACCCACACGAGCCCAGGAACCCACACGAGCCCCAGAACCCACATGAGTCCAGGAACCCACACAAGCCCCAGAACCCACACGAGCCCCAGAACCCACACAAGGAGAGCTCAGCCCAATATTACACTTTATTTTCTAGGTGGTGGAGGAGCTCAATAGGCTTAAGCCTTATTATACTGAGCAATAATAATAATAATGATAGTGATGATAATTAATATGTGGTAAAAGACAAATATTTACACTAATATTCTTCATATAGTAAAGGTTTTTGCCTAATTTAGTGGATCTCAGCCTTATTTATTTGAGCAATAATAATGATAACATAAAACAATAAGAAAGAAAAGATCAGTGGAAAGAGGGGTAGAGAGAGAGAGAGAGAGAGAGAGAGAGAGAGAGAGAGAGAGAGAGAGAGAGAGAGAGAGAGAGAGAGAGAGAGAGATGATGCTGGATGGGCTGAAACAGTAGTATAGAGAAATATCATCAAGAGAGAAGTTCCAGGCAACCAGAGATCATGATCTGTGGAGATGCATGAGCGCCTACGCCAGTTGGCAGGGCACATAATGATTAACATTATTAATAATAAAAAGTATTATTATTGTAATTTTTTTTATTGTATGCTGAGTAATGAGAGGCAGAGGGGTGGGTGGGGGGGGGGGGGGGGGGGTCTGATTATGTCCTGGTAGGAGGTTCTGATCTCATGATGGGAGGAGGTTCTGATCCCTTGCTGGTAGGAGGTTCTGATCTCATGCTGGGAGGAGGTTCTGATATCATGATGGGAGGAGGTTCTGATCTCATGATGGGAGGAGGTTCGGATCTCATGATGGGAGGAGGTTCTGATCTCATGATGGGAGGAGGTTCTGATCTCAGGAGGGGAGGAGGTTCTGATCTCATGCTGGTAGGAGATTCTGATCTCATGCTGGTAGGAGGTTCTGATCTCATGATGGGAGGAGGTTCTGATCTCATGATGGGAGGAGATTCTGATCTCATGCTGGTAGGAGGTTCTGATCTCATGATGGGAGGAGGTTCTGATCTCAGGAGGGGAGGGGTTCTGATCTCATGCTGGGAGGACGTTCTGATCTCATGATGGGAGGAGGTTCTGATATCATGATAGGAGGAGGTTCTGATCTCATGATCGGAGAGGTTCTGATCTCATGCTGGGAGGAGGTTCTGATCTCATGATGGGAGGAGGTTCTGATCTCATGCTGGGAGGAGGTTCTGATCTCATGATGGGAGGAGGTTCTGATCTCATGCTGGGAGGAGGTTCTGATCTCATTCTGGGAGGAGATTCTGATCTCATGCTGGTAGGAGGTTCTGATCTCATGATAAGAGGAGGTTCTGATCTCAGGAGGGGAGGGGTTCTGATCTCATGCTGGGAGGACGTTCTGATCTCATGATGGGAGGAGGTTCTGATCTCATGATAGGAGGAGGTTCTGATCTCATGATCGGAGAGGTTCTGATCTCATGCTGGGAGGAGGTTCTGATCTCATGATGGGAGGAGGTTCTGATCTCATGCTGGGAGGAGGTTCTGATCTCATGCTGGGAGGAGGTTCTGATCTCATGATGGGAGGAGGTTCTGATCTCATGATGGGAGGAGGTTCTGATATCATGATGGGAGGAGGTTCTGATCTCATGATGGGAGGAGGTTCTGATCTCATGATCGGAGAGGTTCTGATCTCATGATTGGAGGAGGTTCTGATCTCATGCTGGGGGAGGTTCTGATCTCATGATGGGAGGAGGTTCTGATCTCATGATGGGAGGAGGTTCTGATCTCATGATGGGAGGAGGTTCTGATCTCATGCTGGGGGAGGTTCAGATCTCATGGTTGGGGGGGGGGGGGGGGGATGATTAACAATTTTTGGGTGGGACCTTAGCCCCCGACCTTCTAGAAATTGGGGGATGGGGGGCGCCCTAGGTTCTGGCTCGTATAAGTCAACTAGTCTTTACATTTGTCTGTCTAGCCTTTATGTGGGTTAAACTATTAGCCATGCCTCCCGTCTGTCTATCTGTCTGCTCCATGTTGCCTATTTGTTTCCCCGTCCATCCCAAATCTATCATATTAAGAAATCTCACACATGTACAAACGCCCTGATATACCTACATGGGTACCCGAATTTGACACTGCTCTAGTCCCAGTCCTTCGGTCTCTCTATCCTGACCTTCGGTGTCCCGGGGCAAGGTCGCGTTGATGGGGTCAAGGAGGACATCTTGTACAGTGTAGGTCGAGTTGGTCCACGGTGGATTGTGGCACCTAGTGTCCAATACAAGACATCACTTAGTGGCTGCATACATGTCAAAAAGTCTTGTATCTATTTCTCTCTGTCTCTCTGTCTCTCTCTCGCTCTGTGTGTGTCTGTATCTCTCTCTCTCTCTCTGTGTCTGTATCTCTCTCTCTCTCTCTCTCTCTCTCTCTCTCTCTCTCTCTGACAGTCTGTGTGACAGACTTTCTTTTTTCTTTCTTCCTTTTCTTCCAGCTGAGCTAACGTCCTATCTGCAGGCGACTACAGTTGTTGGTCACCCGGGGTCATCTGGGAAACTTCACGTTCTTACCCATAATTTCGATGCATTGCTGTTTATCTTGTCTTGACTTTCTTCTGATTCTGCTGCTGGTACTGCTGGCACTGCTGCTGCTTCTGCTGCTGCTGCTGGCACTGCTGCTGCATCTGCTAATGCTGCTTCTGATTCTGCAGCTGCTGCCGCTCGTGCCCTTTCATATCCAATTAGTCACTTTTATCTTGTGCCCATCCTAGTGTTGGTCGGCCCCTGCCCCTCCTTCTGCTATTATTCCCCCCAGTCCACCGTGGCCCTTGATATGTACAGAATATTTCGACTTTTGAGACAATACGTTTTTTTTAGGCCAATCTTCTTCGATATTCAGACGTTTTACCGTGTCATTATTTCTTTTCTTCTCCGTGCATGATATTCTGCAAATCGTTCTATATCATTTCAGCTGAAATACCATATTTTTTTTCCTTTAATGTTGTTGACATAGGGAAGATGCATGCTTTTAAAATGTTGACTTTGATTTCCTTAGGTATAAAGCAAGAGCACGGAAACTCACCTGTGCTAGGGAACTGCCAAGATAAAGACAGGTAAACAAGAGCACAAAAACAGTGGCTCACCTGTGCTGGGGAACTGCCATGATAAATACAGGTAAACAAGAGCATAGAAACACTGGCTCACCTGTGCTGGGGAACTGCCATGATAAATACAGGTAAACAAGAGCATCGAAACAGTGGCTCACCTGTGCTGGGGAACTGCCATGATAAAGACAGGTAAACAAGAGCATCGAAACACTGGGTCACCTGTGCTGGGGAACTGCCATGATAAAGACAGGTAAACAAGAGCACAAAAACACTGGCTCACCTGTGCTGGGGAACTGCCATGATAAATACAGGTAAACAAGAGCATAGAAACACTGGCTCACCTGTGCTGGGAAACTGCCATGATAAAGACAGGTAAACAGGAGCACAGATACACTGACTCACCTGTGCTGGGGAACTGCCAAGATAAAGACAGGTAAACAGGAGCACAGATACACTGACTCACCTGTGCTGGGGAACTGCCAAGATAAAGACAGGTAAACAGGAGCACAGATACACTGACTCACCTGTGCTGGGGAACTGCCAAGATAAAGACAGGTATGAGGGTCTGCATGGAGACAGCGATGACCGGCAGACAGGTGAGGATGTATACCCTCACCTGATAGGGTCCCAGCTCGCCCAGCTGTTTAATCAGATCGTCATACTTCATGACCCCGTTGATGTTCCTGCAGATGTTTGTGAAATACGTAGTTCTTCTCAGTGTCAGATATTTATCTGCCCTTGCGATCATCGCTGGAACTAAGAAGTGTGTGCTTTGTGAGGTGCTCTCAATAGACGGAGAGAGAGAGAGAGAGAGAGAGAGAGAGAGAGAGAGAGAGAGAGAGAGAGAGAGCGAAAGAGAGACCACACCAGATGGTCTCAAAGACTGTCAACGAAGCGGAACCTCTATAATTAATCAAGGGAGGGTGGTCTCAGTGGCTACAACGTTAGGTCGTGTACAACGTGCTTCACAAATTCTAGGAAGGATCAAAGAAGAAGATGAAGCTACACCAGTTCCTTTATTTCCCATTTAAGTGCCTGTCTGATGTTTTCTAGTTTCTTCTTACGACATGTTTAGTTTTTTTTAAAGAGGGGATGCGGTGGAAGGGGGCAGGGGGAGTTGGTATATTCTTGTTTCCCTAAAATGGGACTCGTAATTCAGGTCTTGATTTGTAAATGTAGAGGTTTGAGGTTTAAACAACGGATCAACATCATGGCACACAGTGCTCCGTTCTTCTTCTAACTCAAGTGAGAGTCAAAAGTAGCTAAGCACCGTGCACGTGCTCCGTAGCACAGGCGAGGATCCAAAAGTATTTTGGGTAGAATTTTGCCCGGGCAGTGCCGTTAGGCTACTCTTTTAGATTTTTGTTACAAACGGGCATCCGATCTCCCTACCCAGAGACCAGGGGAAATTACTAGAACATAAAAAATCCTAGCCTTCATTGGGGCCTGATCCCAGGACCTTTTGCGCCTAAGGCGGACACCATACCTCGAGACAACGCAGCTCCCTGTTGATATGG